GGTAAACAGGTTTTGGGAAGTTACTGAGGATTGGGCTGAGCACGCAGGGAAGCTACGTGACCTAAGTCATGATTGGTGTGCTTATCACATGATGTGAGGAACTGTGTATGGATTGGTTTGAGTAATGTAAAAAGGTCTGGGTGAAAAATAGTTAATGAGGAGATTCTCCCAGGCACGCTTCAAGGCTATGCTAGAGCTAGAGCTATCGCTATCACTTCAAGGCTATTGCTAGCTAGCACTAGGCTGCTTTTGCTTTACTGTAATAAATCTTACAAGTGCTGTAACTGCTTTCACTTTGACACAACGCTTGAAGTCTTATCCAATAAACCTTTTTAAGAATCTTTACCGCATCGGGGTCTTGCTCGCGGGACGAGGGACCCCGATAGTAAATCTGCCTTTTCTTTCAAAAAAAGAATAATTTGGAGAGTGAAGAGTGGATGGAAAATACTCTCTCACCCTCTCATGTAAAACCCAATAATTTTAGATGACATTTGCAGGATAAAGTTTGTGCTGATTTTTAAGTATTTATGACTAACCACTAGGAAATTGGTTAAAAGTACTAGTTTACCTTGTTCCATCAAGGGTTTAAATTTGTATTAAACAGTTGAAATGATCAGTAAGTGCAATAGCAGCACAGGATAAGAAACATGAAAAACGTAGCTGAGCAAGAAGACAGTTTATGATCTACTACAACATCAGCTTTTGAGGCATTGAAAAGTAATTAGCTCTTGATTTTCATTTTGAATAAAACTGCGATGCTTCTTCAAAATTCTGATAGATGTAAGTGTAAAGTATGTGGTTGACAGTTGTGAAGCCTTCCACAATTTAGAGTGTTAGTTAATATATGTATTTATGATTTTCTAGACCAGAAAAACAAGTTGTTGGCCCATCTTACCCTGCTTCTCATATGCATTAACAGAGAGCTAGATCTGAAATGCAGAATAACTGGAACCCAAATCACGCACTTAGAAACAGCCTTTTAGTATTGTTGCTGAGTTTGATCAATGTGTTAACACCAATACCTAGCGCTTATCAGGGGACTTCAAACAGCTGATGCAAATGTGTATCAGGAAAAAAACTATGTATGGCCTTCACAATTTTTCTGCACCGGCAAACATTGTCTTTTAATTCCGATTTCATACAAATTTTGTGATGTGCCCTGATAATATTTAATAATGGCAACATAATTAATACTTAGTCTTATAAAAACATAAGAATCCATGCCTCATACAATATGTAACAGTTCATTTAACATATATCAGAGACCTAAATGTAAGAACTAAAAGTCTTAGAAGAGAAATGAGAAAATGCTTACCTATTTTTATATTCCCATCTTGTTTATTACATGTTAACAATATTATTTTGCAGGGACTATTTACCACTGGGCATTAATATAAGAGCTCTTTTTAAAATTGACATATTTTAAATATTAAGAGACAATGTAATATAAATTATAAAATACATATGTTCTGTTGAAAAACAGTAACCTTGCATTGTTTTTTGTTCCTTTTTTTAGTGAGTTGTGGGTAGTATGTGTCATAAACAATAACTGTCTTTGAGATTGAGAAACATGTTAATTCAGATGTTCAAAACTAAATATTGCCTAATATTGGTAATATGACATTTGTAGTGGTAAATAATGCACTAGATGATTATTTGGCTTCACATTGTCTAAAAATGTATTAGGTGCTTAAAATGTGGCAGTCGCTATTCTCTGCATTTTTCAGTTGTGAGTTTTTTAAATCTTTATCAAAACAAATTGAAGTGAGAATTATTATTTCTATTTGGAACAACCCAGCACGTAACCCAGGCACAGGTACTGGTACAGACTCCAGATTTGCACCCATACAATCTGGCTGCAAAATTAACACTCACAGCTCCTGTATGATAATGCACTTTTTTCAACTAATTAGTTGAAACAATCGTAGATAAATTTGAACTTGAAAAAAAATTACAGTAGACTAATATATTGCATGGCAGAAATTTATGTTTACTTATTCAATGCCCCACATTATCTTTATGATCTTAACTAATACATACTTTTTAAAAATTATGTATGCTTCCCTTCTTCAGCAAATTTATGCACTTTTTTGTCTTGAATTGCCTCTTTTGTACCTCTTCACCAAAAAAATGTGCTTTTGTATGTATATGTGCGTGTTTAAATAATTTATTTATTTTTATTAGAAAAGCAGATTTACAGAGTCAGAGGGAGAGAGAGCACTATCTTCCATCCACTGGTGCACTCCACAAACGGGTGCAATGGCCAAGAGCTAGGAACCTTTTCTGGGGCTCCCTTGTGAGTGCAGGGTCCCAAGGCTTTGGGCCGTCCTCTGCTGCTTTCCCAGGACACAAGCAGGGAGCTGGCTGGGAAGTGGAACAGCCGGGACATGAACCAGCGTCATGTGGGATCCTGAAACTTGCAGCAGGAGGAATAACCAATTGAATCTTTGTGCTGGGCTCTTTTGTGAGTTTTCTGAGGTCATCCAGCAGGTCACCTTCCAAAGTTAATAAATTGGAATCAGAGATGACTCTTCATTTAGTAAGAGATTTTAAATTTTATTTTCATTGTTGAATAAGAGACATAAGTTGCAGATGCAAAACTAACGTTTGATATGGGCAAAAACAAATGTCCTTATTGTTAGTTATTAATTGACCTATTATTTCAGTGAATGAGTTTTTTGAATTTCATGATTACAAACAAGTAAAAGGATTGTGCACATGCTTTATATTTGCCTTGTGGTAAATATTACAATAATTACATGTAATTCATAAGTACTAATGCTAGATTTTGCTTTTGGTATATAAAAATGAACATAGCTTCTTACTCGAATAGCAACAGAGTTTCACAAATATAAAAATTCGATTATTTTCTTTAATTTATGGTCCAATTTTTGCTTAAAAATTTGAATGCTTCACTTTCTTTTTTACTCTTACTTTGTTTCAGAAATACCTCTTTCATCACAAGTTTATGGCTAAGGCAATTTTAAGTGTCACGCTTCAATACATTAGAAAGTTTCAGCATTGCTAGTGTTATGATTTTTTTTTAATAATTACATTGCATGGGCCCGGCGAGGTGGCGCAAGTGGTTAAAGGTCCTCGCCTTGCACGCCCGGGATCCCGTATGGGCACCGGTTCTAATCCCAGCAGCCCCGCTTCCCTTCCAGCTCCCTGCCTGTGGCCTGGGAAAGCAGTCGAGGACAGCCCAAAGCTTTGGGACCCTGCACCCGCGTGGAAGACCCAGAAGAGGCTCCTGGCTTCGGATCGGCATAGTATCAGCCCGTTGCGCTGACTTGGGGAGTGAATCATCGGACGGAAGATCTTCCTCTCTGTCTCTCCTCTCTGTATATCCGCCTTTCCAATGAAAAAATAATAAAAAAAATTAAAAAAATCTTACAAAAAAAAATTACATTGCATTATGTGACACAGCTTTATAGGTACTGGGATACCCCCTCCCCTTCTCAAACCCTCCCCCCATGGTGGATTCCTCCACCCTGTTGCATTACTACGGTTCAAATTCAGTTGAGATTCTTTCATTGCAAGCATTTACCAAGCATAAAGTCCAGCATCTTATTGTCCAGATAAGTTCAACAGTTTCTTGGGGAGACCTTCTCTGGTCTGAAGGTAAAGCCAGCAGAGTATCACCCCGATCAATTAAAAGCTCTGACATAACATCAGTAACAATTTATAATGTTATGGAATTAATTGACATGGTATTGATTAACCAATATGTTAAAAGAAAAAAAGAAAAGAATGCAAGTTCTGAACCACATCATGTGACTTCTTCATTGACATTTCAATTATTAGTTTATATACAACTGGGTTCTTACTATTCAGCTGTCTCATGTCTATTTTAATTTTAGTGTTTAGCAGTTTATAACGTTGAAGCATGATTTTGCTGAACCTGGCTGTTTTTTGGGTAATCTAACTCTATAACTCTAACAAGACATATGTCAACAGTTTAGGTGAATAGTTTTAGGAAGGGTGTGCAGAGAAATCTTGGATACCCTAATGAGGAGTAACTAATCTTTGTGTCCCACCCAGTGAGGTGTAAGTGCATCCCCCGCTGACCTGACGTTTCCTGTCTGATTCCAAGCTTTCCTTGTTGTTCTCTATCTGTTCTAGATTTTTGTTTGTTTGTTTGTTTGTTTGTTTGTTGTGAGGGATTTCCAGAGTGATCCTGATGGTCATTGCAAGAGAGGGTGGGGACCCAAAGTCAGAACCAGGCAAGGACCAGAGAAAGATCCCCTCCCTAGTCCCAAAGGAAGTTTACTATTCTTTTGTTTCTGCAGACCATTCAGGGCTCCTGGTTGTCATTCCGATGACCTTGGATCCTGCAAGGCAGGATTTGGACTTCTTCCATCCCATGTGGTAGATCCAAATGGGGGTGGGTGACCTCAGAGTTCTCCGCCTCCGAAGGCACTCCAATTCCCCATGGTCTCCTTGGCAGTTGGGATGTAGTCCTTGGTGCTCATACTGATAGTCCTTGGTGAGGATCTGGAGTCTTCACGGGTGGGATACAAGCCTTCTCCTGTCCACCTGCTCCACTCTGGGGTCCCCCCCTGCTCTGTGCATGACCTCCTGTTAAGAGGTTGTCAGGATCGCTCCTGATTCCCTCCATGTGCCTTTGTAGTTTTACTGTTGTCTAATGCTGATTCGAGTCTGTTGTCTATGAGTTACCAATTATGACCCTGGTAAGTTGTATTTCATGTCTTCCTCACACATTCTAGGGAGATGTAAGATTTCTCTGCTCTCCCACCCCATTGCGGAATAGCATAGAGTATTAGAAGCATATTAGGTTTTACAATTCTTTGATGTAGATCATAAGTAGTCTGACTCACATTGGTTGTTGATTCATAGATTACATCACATTATCTTATCTTAGATACAGGCTGTTTGAGGTTGAAATAATATTATGGTATGCAGGTACTAGTGTTATGATTTTTTAAAAATGCCATTGTTTTACTAGAGATGCTCAATAATGTATTATTCTGTTTTCCTAGGAACTTCCTGCACCATTACTGGATGACAGTTGTAAAAAAGAATTTGATGAAGATGTTTGTAAGAAAATACCGGAATCTAATGTTAAGATGAAAATAGCTTGGCGTTACCAGTTATTACCCAAGATGGAGGCAAGTCAACAAACAAGCTTTCTCTAAACTTTTCAGATGCCTTGGTTTTTAGCTTTTAATCTTAAGAGGCCCTTGAATGCGATACAATGAATATTTGTTTATTTAAATAACTAGATATTTCAAAGTTGACATACACTGACAAAAAAATATGGCAAATTGTTTGTTTCCAAAATAGATTTCATTTCTTCCATAATCTTCATTTAGAACTTTTAGCTGTAGGGTTGCAAGCCAGATTAAGTAAACTAATGAAGAAAGCCATTTGAATTCAGTGTATTTATCTATAAATATTCAATATAAGTAGTGATGCTTTGGAATACCAATTTTTATTCCCATAGATTTTCAACTACTATAGTTTGAAAATCAGCTGTCTGGTAACCTCTTCTATTCAGAATAGACCGTAACACAGGAAATGAAGGGAACATTTCTAAGAAGTCAAAATAAATGTCAAAGTATCTGTCCACTAAAGCACAGGAAATCTAACCTTGTTAAGATTCTGTGCACTTACTTTTATTGGAAAGACAGATCCACAGAGAGAAGGAGATACAAAGAAAAATATTGTCTATCCGCTGGTTCACTCCTCACCTAGCCACAACGGCTGGAACTGAGCCAATCCAAAGTCAGGAGCCAGGAGCTTCTTCTAGGTCTCTCACATGGGTGCAGGGTCCCAAGGTTCAAGGTCATCCTCTACTCCTTTCTCAGGCTCAATTAAGAGCTGAAAGGGAAATGAAACAGCCACGACACAAGCTGGTACCTACGTGGGATTCCAGTGAGTGCAGGTTTTCCGTGGGCAAGTCTTGTTTAGTTTCCTAGTTGGCAGTGCCGGCCCTTTTGTCCGTTGTTGCTCTCTTCCCCCTTGACTTCCACCTCCTTGTCCAACAACTTCTCCTTGTCGGATGTTCTTTCTCTTCGTGTCCACCGTTGCAGGAGCTGGTGTAGCCGACAACCTAGCCAATCTCCTCTTGGGCTCTTCTTTCGCCACCCCTTGGGCAGAGCTGACCTTCCTCTTGGGCATCTTGGCAGCAGGTAGAGCACGTGGTGGGGTGCTTGCGGGCCACTGGGCACGGAGAGCCTTCACGAAGCTGGGCTGGCTGGCTGCTGCTGCTCTTCCCGCCACCCTAGCTGCAGGAACGCGCCTCGATTCACTCACTTTTAAGAACATTTTTGTGTCTACTGAACTTTGATACACTTGTTACTGGTAGAAAGAAGGGCAAATTTTAATCTGATAAAGTCATAGTTCCAAAGCCTGCCCTTCTCCAGTCTTCTGCATTGACACTGTGCCATCTTTTGCAGCCCTTGTTAACTTTAAATTCTTCATTTGGTTTCCTGTTTTCTCTTCAGTCACACTGCACTCTGGAGAAGCTTACGTGTCTGGATGTTCACTAGAATAACCTGAATGATCACTACCAATTAACGAAAGGCTGAATGTGATAAAACCTGCTTACTGCTATAAGCCTGTGACGTGACTACAGGCTTCTTAGGATTATATACAGAATCTAGTTAGTTTAGTCCACGTCTCCCTGTTTAGCCTTCTTCCCTGTTTCACCCTAGTATTCCTTCAGCCTATGAAAATTGCTCCTTTTGAACCCCCTGCATTTCTGCTGCTACTGCTTTTCAGGTTCTTATCAACAACCCATCCTTCTCCATTTGTAAATGTTGCTACCTCAGGAAGTTGTTCAGACATAATTATCTGCTTCATTTTTTATAAGATTGATTATTTTTAAGCTTATTTGAAAGGCAAAGTTAAAGGGAGAGGGAGCAGTATCTCTTATCCAATGGCTCACTTACCGAGGGCTTCAGCCTATCCTGTTGCTCCAAAGTCTGTCTGCCGGTCCCTGTCTGATTTGTTGCTTGTTTTGTCCATAGCACTTACATAATTTCAAGTATTTCTTTTCCACGTTGTTTTATAGTTAATCAGTGCAGCTCCCGCACTTACTGAGAATTCTCTGTGAGAGCAGAGAGCTTGTTTCATTTTCTCCTTACTCCAGCACCCATAGTTAATGCACAATCAAGAAAGTTTTGAGGAATGAGAAATGTCTTCATCCAAGTAAAGATTAATAACTCAGCAAGTATGCACAAGATTCAGAATTAGTTGTAGTAGATATGTATCTCTATAAGCAATTATGAATTGTGCAGATTTATGAGAGGACACTATTTGGATAATATGATTTTTATGATGCGATTTAAATGACAAAGTATAAACTGGGAAGTAATCTTTAAGTGAAACTGCTAGTGAAAAATATGTGTCTTCAAGCATTCTCTCATCTGCGTGTTTAAAACAGTCTGTTTAGGGTTGGGGACAAAGTTATTTATTTCTTTAGATACTCATTGTTTATCCATAAATTATAGTTATACTTTTCTTCCCTCTGTCATGTTTCAGTGAGTTATGTCTTATTTCATTCATTCTATTGGAGTACATACCTCTGTATGCCTGATATGGATAGTCTTTCTCAAAGTTGCGTACTAACAATAAATGTACCTGGGCTGATGCGTAGCCTAGTGGCTGAAGTCCTTGCCTTGAATGTGCCGGGATCCCATATGGGTGCTGCATCTAACCCTGGCAGCCTTGCTTCCCATTCAGCTTCCTGCCTGTGGCCAGGGAAAGCAGTCAAAGATGGCCCAAAGCCTTGGGACCCTAAAACCACGTGGGAGACCCGGAAGAAGCTCCAGCCTCCTGGCTTCAAATGAGCTCAGCTTCGGCCATTGTGGCCACTTGGAGAGTAAACCAGCAGATGAAAGATCTTCCTCTCTGTCTCTCCTCCTTTCTGTATAGCTGACTTTCCAACAAAAATAAATAAATATTTAAAAAATTTAAAAACTGGGCCAGGCCCAGTAGCTAAAGTGCTCTCCTTGAAGGCACCGGAATCTCATATGGGTGCTGGTTCCCATCCAACTCCCTGCTTTTGGGACCTGGAAAAGCAGTCGAGGACAGCCCAAAGCCTTGGGATCCTGTACCAGCATGGGAGACCCAGAAGAAGTTCCTGGCTCCTGGCTTTGCATGGTGCAGCTCTGCCTGTTGTGGTCCCTTGAGGAGTGAATCATTGCACGGAAGGTTTTCCTCTCTGTATATCTAACTTTGTAATAAAGAATAAATAAATCTTTAAGAAATAGTAAAACAAATAAACTTTTTAAAACCGAAATGTTTTGGAGATTGTGTTCCTTTTACCATGAACTTCTTGAGATTCTTCATTCTCCCATTTTTTTCATACACTGCTAAATTATTACTTTGTCAGGAATGCCTTCATCATCATCCTATATAACAAAGTATATACCTTTTCTATTATTTCCTTGCAGCTTTATTTTCCCTCTGCATAGCTAGAAATAGGAACCATTGAAGCTAGCAGATAATACATAAAGCTTATGTATGTGTAGTTACTTGCCATCTCTCTCTACTTCCTTCTAGCAGAATGTGAGCTCAGCAAGACTGTTTTGCTTTACTGGCATTATGAGTGCCCATAGTTATTTCTTAGATGCATGAAGTAATAAATTACATACACATATCAAACTAAGTTAGGTTGCATTAAATGATAGATATAAAATCAGAGCCTTAAATTTACTTGTATTGGAAGTGAGTTTGCATTTTTAGAAAACAGAATTACTTGTCCCTGACATGCCACCATCCCATATTGTTAATGTCTGGGTTCAGTCCTGGATCTGCTCTGCATGCTGATTCCCTTCAGGTGTGAATACCCTGATGTAGGTGTTAGCTCAGGAACCTGGATTTTTGCCAACTATTTAGGAGACCTTAGCTCAAATCCTCGCTCCTGCTTTGTGCCTGATATAGCCCTCCCTGTTCAGCTGTGTGGGGAGTGAAGCAGCTGATGGAAGATCTTATACTGTCTGTCCCTGGTTCTGTCTCTGTGCTTTTCAGCACATGAAATTTAAGACTTTAATTTAAAGAAGGAGAAGAAGAAAGAGGGGGGGGGGGGAAACAGAATGATCCTCTACTACTTTTCTTTGAAATCATATTTGCTCATGGGCATCAATTTTATATATGACAGCTTGCCAAGATTGATACTATGGTGATTGCACATCATCATGTTTTATAATCTAGATTTAGTTTGCTATTCCAAGGGTAAAACATCAAAACAAAGACATGGATTTCCTAAGTTTAACCAGAAACAAAGTTCTGTTAACCCAATCACAGGAAAATAGCAATGAGGAAGGTGACCTTACTTCTTAGCTCATGCCGAAAAAGAATTTCTATGCAGACAGGATAGTGAGCAGATCATTTATTCAGGTTGAAACCTCCAGCCACAAAATGAGGAGCAGGGCCTCCGAGAGAGGAAAATCCAAGAAACTTGTCAAAGTGGATCTTTTAAGCACAGCTTGGAGGAAGAACAGACAGCAGCTTACAGTCAGTCAGAGCGTGGGGACAAAAACCATCCGAGGGCCAGAACTGTAATCCTTACTAGCTTAATCACTATAAAATAAGACAGAACAAAAAGGCATCTGGTTGGTAGGATGATTAACTTCATCTTCTGTTCTTCTCATTAGAAGAATGAGATTGGTACTTTGTCTTGCTGAAGGCAACTTCTGGACAGAAGCAAGCATCTTGTCCACTCTTGTAGGACTTCCTACTTCTCATTCCAACAGGGACCTGACCTAACTGTTAGCTCATGTGCCTCCTCAAAACTGTAATGGCTCAAGAGTGAATAAGTAATGTGAAACTAGGCATGTTTATTATTACACATGCATTTAATAAAATCTGTACCTGGGTCCTTAAGAGTACAGTCATATTCCCATTCAGCAAATGCAAAAAAGGATATGAACATATGCACCTTAATCAATAGCTGTAACTCAGTTAAATAGCAAGTGTTTATTCCAGGTGATAGGGTGCAAGTCCCCCTTCTCATCATGCTTTATTTGCTCTCCAGGAGAGATATGTCCTTTTCTTCCCTATGTGTACCCTTTTAATTTCCTATTCCCTCCTCCATAAATTCAAACCAGCAGGATGTTCTGAAACTTCATTTTTTCAATATTGTAGTACCACAGCCTACGATTCTAACAATTCCTGGTAATATATTGGGTTTTTATTGTACAACATTATGTGAAAAGTTTGGGGAAAATTAAATAATAAGTTAATTTTTATGCAAAAAAATCTTGAGAATCATGCATCGCTTTTCATAATGTCCATTTTCTGTGAGCTTTTTCAAGTATTACCTAGTTTCTCATTACTCTCAGCTTTCCTTCTTCAAGACACAGCCTTAAGAGACCTGTGAGAGATGTGTGCATGTGTATGACCAAAAAGAGGCAATGTAATTAGAGGGGAGTGTAATGGATCTTCTGGTTTTCTGGCACCATAACAGATTTAATATTTACATTGTATTTCATAAATTACATAATATTCATTGCTACTATTACAGTAGATTTCCGCAACAGCCTAATGAAATAATTAGGACCTCCAGTTTCTGGTTTTTGAGCTGTAGTTCAAAATAGTTTATTAACTGGATTCTTGATATTGATTATGCCAAACTAAAGAACAATAAATTATAATAACGGAAAGAAAATGTCTTATGTGGACTATTTGTGGTGCAGCTTTTCTCTAAGTGCTTTGTTTCTTGGTAATGTAACAGAGGTGAGGTATGGTATCATTTTGTCGTTCTGTCTTCCTCTTGTAGCCCATCAAGCTTAGTTTTCTTTTAACATAGAAAGATTTTTTCCAAACTATTTCATTTTGCTTCTACAGACAGGACAGTTAAAAGGTTCTTCATGAATGTAAAATAGAAATGTCTATAATGGAAACTGGGCTAATCATGATAGTTTGATATTTTTAAGTACCTCTATAGAGTTAAGGACAGTTTTTATCAATGATCTTATCTTTTTTATAATGATCTTTATCTTATAAATAATTTGATTATTTTATCTAATCTCAGTATCTAAATAAATTAATAACAGTAATATGTAAAAGCTTCTAATTTTATTTTTACGTTTTAATAAATATTTGCATTCCATATATAAACTGTCACAGCTTGAAATTAATTTTCTGCCTAGATTCCTCCAAAATCTGAGATTTCTATCACATTAATATTATAATTAGAAACATTAATGGAGACGGCAACTTAAAAAGCATACTTCGCTTCTTGGCAGTTTAGCATATTTCTCTGAGTGCATGGGACTTCAAGAACCTTCAGTCCACTAATAAATTTATTAACTCAAACTTAAAAGCAGTGAAAAGTCTCTTTCTTTCTCTCTCCCCATGGTCAGTCTGCTAAAATAGATTATTCATGCTTATTTGATTCAGGTAGGCTTTTGCAAGCTTCCCTACTAGGCCTGGGAATGTGGTACATTGAGGCCCTTTCAGAGGCTTCTGACATAGACCAAGCTTTTATTGCATGGCGTTTTATTATAGCCAAATCCTAGTCTCCACCCAGTTTGTAGGCACTCTGCTTATTCTTTTGAATCAGGAAAGGTTATCACCTACCTTAATCCATGCTGCATGGATTAAGGACACCAGTGTGCCCCAGGATTCTCAAAGAGGATCCTGGAAACTTCTGGTTTCTTCTTTTTTGCAGTCTTTACTAAATTCTATTGGGCCTTAGGAGGATTTGCATCTGAAATGAGCAGCCTGGTGTTTTTCTCAATGAAGACATCAGATCAAAGTTCAGTTAGTCAAGGCCTTTCTAAAACATTAACGCAGCTTGGACTTACACAATAAAAAGATGAGCTCTAGCAGAGATTGCAGTAAAAACATTCTGAACTATAATCCGGATAAAGAATAGATTATAGGCCAAAGAACAGACCTTGTTTAAATTGCTTTAGACTAATAACTTCACATTAAAAAACTTTACATTCTATCTTAAAGAAATATTTTAATGTAATATAATATGGTTTGTCAGTAAATTTCATAGTAAATGGATACATTATGTTTTGGGCACCACAATTCTGTGCATGTTGAATTAAAAAGATTAGATTGAAGCCAACTGAAATGTCTTTTATTAATGAAAATAAGTAGCACCTGGTAGAGGGATAGTCTTATTTAGAAAATAAATGTTAAATACATAGGCTGAATCTTAGAAAAATGTATCAATAGACTCAAAAAATTGTATACCATGTTACAGTATACTTTGACATGTGTGTGCATATAGCTTAGGAGAGAAATACTTGAATTCTCAAATGCAAATATCTAGAGTCAAGCAAACATGTTTAAATATAAATTTAAAAAATTTTAAAAACCTCTTATTTGATAATGCTTCAATTTTTGTAGCGATCTTTTTATTGACTGTTCTGCAAAGTGTCTATTTTGTAGCATTCATGAGAGTGGAAATTCTGTAAGATCCGAGCTTTGCAAGAAGTTGCTGCCAGATGGAATTGTTGGTAGTTTAGCTTTGAAAGATGTGTATACATATCTTACCTTTGAAATTTTTAATTTATTTTACGTTTTTCTCAAGTGCTAAATCAAAAAACAAGTCTAGAATCCATTCAAACCAATGTAATAATCATGTTATACTGTGAGCCTTTACTGTGTAAATAAATTCACTGTCAGTAGGTATTAGAGTCTTCTGTGAGAAACATACATTTTTGGAGAGATTAATAGATATTAGCTAATGATGATAGTAAGTTCTGGGTCTTGTATACATTCTTCCTCTTTATTCTGTACTTTGTTTTTGCCTGAAGTCTCTGTTATACTTTAGGCTGCAAGCTTTTATTTTAAGATTTTAAGAAACCTTTCTCTTTTAAGAATTTAATTTGATGGGGCTGCCTAGTATATCGCATTTAAATACCTGGTTTCTTTCTGGCCTCTAACCAATAAAGGGCTTAATTTAGCTTAATTTTTATCTAGTTCCAGCTAAAATTAGGACTATTAAAATTGAATCACTAATTGGAACTTTAAATATTAATGATGAATTATGTGTATTAAATTTTGAACTTAGCAAATTATGCAATAAAATAAAAGAGTTTAAGATATTTTCACACTTTGATCCAATTTTGATAAACACAAAGAGTGAAGAAGCATATACTTACCTTGCAGGGGAGATGCCCTGATCACGCAGGTGGTTCTCCCAGGGCAAGGCTCATCCATTGCACTGGGATTGTGCTGACCCCTGCGATTTCCCCAAATGTGAGAAACTCAACTGCATAATGTGTGTTAGTGGAGAACTGTGTTCGTGCTCACCACTAAAGGGGAAAAAAAACATAACAGGGAAAAAGCAGGAGATATATGAAATGATTATTTTTTTACTATATTTATTTAGCATGATTATGAATGTATTTTTCTAAGCAATTTGGTGAGTATATATGTGTTTTATATATAAAATAGGTAGCTCTTATTAATACTAAAATGCATAACTATATCACTGTTTTATTGGGTTTAAGAGCAATAGATTCTAACTTTAAATCCTAGTTTCATTTTAACAATGAATATGGATTTTTCATAGCAGATTGGACCAGTATCTGCTTCAAAATTTGGTCACTGCTATGATGCATCAAAAAAGATGCCACAAGAACTAATTGAGACTTCAAAATGGCATGGATTTTTTCTCCCGGAAAAAATATCGTCAGACCTTCCAGTAGAACCCTGGTAAGTTCATGACTCATTTAATATCAAACTCTAATTTCAATGGTTAATACAAATCACTTTTTAACTTAACTTTTTAAAGTTTCCCATCTATTCTAAATGTTAGCTTTCTGCATAATATTTAATCTTAATTTGTAATTGTTTCATAATATGTCACTATGTGTGCTTTTTTTTTTTCGGTTCTGTAACTATTGGACCCACTATTACCATGATTTGGAACCTGAGTCACAGACTGATTCCAATATCTGCTGATCTTTCTTTTAAGTGTAGAAAAGTTCTAAATCAAGTCTTGTCAATGCAAGATGCAGAACATACTCATGGCTCACCATAGCAATGAAAATGGTATGAAGTAGTTCTGCTCCTTCAGTGTCTGTTGGGGAGTGCTCTTTCAGAAAGTTAAGCTGTGGATACTTGCCAGTACTTTCCTCATTTGGCTTTCCATTCCTACTTATTCTGTAAAATAAAGCAAGCTGTTTAATTTTAACTGACAAGAGAATTTAGAGTTCGAGTTTTATAGTAAGCCATGAGATGTTTGTTGCTTCTGGTGACCACCTTAAAACCATTTAAATCCAAGACGAGTTATTAAGTGAGCACTTAATAGGCAGGAAGTTAGTTGAAAAACTTAAAAATCTGATGCCTTTTTTTCTAGACTTCCTTGAGAATTTAGTAAAGTATATTCTGCGTATTATTATTCAACCCATTTTAAATTTCTTCAGTTCATTATGCATTCTCCAGTCTATTGCTAGAAACTTAGCAAGAGTGTCTTGATATTAGTAGCTATTATTTATACATCTCTGCTGTGGATCCAGCAGTATGCTAGCTCATATAATCTTAATAACCCATGAACCCATGCTCTAGGAGAAAACATTGACATTTCTGCAAGTGATTTATCTGAAACTCATTGATAGAACCAGGATTAGTCTGTTCTCATATATACTTAACTGTCTTTTCATTTAAGTACTTCAGAAGATTTTGGTGTCTTTCTCCTTTAGTTTCCTTTGTTATGGAGAGAAGAGCACTGATAAAAGAATTAAAAAAAAAACCCTCAGGATTCAAGTACATAGTTCTTTATAACATTAAGCAGTTAGGCAGTTTTCTTAATTACTGTGACAATCGGCATTCTTGTGAAGTTACAGATAGATGTTAGTGCAAATATCATTTGTGATACCTTCAGCACTAATTTTTCTTAAGATTTGTTCATTTTTATTGGAATGGCAGATAAACAAAGAAGGAGATGCAGAGAGAACAATCTTCCATCTGCTGATTGTCTCTGGCCCAATTGGCAGGAGCAGAGCCAATCTGAAGCCAGGAGCCAGGAGTTTCTTCTGACTCTCCCACATGGGTGCAGAATATCAAGGCTTTGGGCTGCCCTCAACTGCTTTCCCAGGCCACAAGTAGGGAATTCGATGGGAAGTGAAGGAGCCAGAAATGGGTCCCCATTTTGGATCCCGGCTCATGCAAGGCATGGACCTTAGACACAAAGATACTGCGCCAAGCTATTTTTGGGGGTTTGGTTTTGGTTTGTAAAGATTTATTTGTATTAGAAAGTCAGATTTACAGAGAGGAGAGACAGCAGGATCTTCCATCCATTGGTTCACTCCCCAGACAATCACAGTTGTTAGAGCTGGGTCAATCCAAAGCCAGGAGCCAGGAGTTTCTTCCAGTCCTACCACATGGGTTAGGGTCTCAATGATTTGAGCCATCCTCTGCTGTTTTCCTAAGCCATAATCAGAGAACTGGATCAGAAGTGGTGCAGTCAGAATACAAATCAGCACCAATATGGGAGGCTGGCACTTGCAGATGGAGGATTAACCAGTTGGATCACCACACTGGCCCCCATTACCTTGTTAATTTTTCACTAATTATTTTTCTAACTTTGATTACCTATTGATTTTTCTGCTTCCTAATTTTTCCACATACTAAACTATATACACACATGTACACCTACATTCTTGAGAAATAGGCCAAAAGGTCTTTCTGTTCTTTTTCAAATAGTAAATTATGAAATCCAGATTCAATGTTAGTTCATCCAAAGCAGACAGTGGTCTAATGGTTAAGATACCTGTGTCCTACCTCAGTACCTGGTTTCCATTCCTGATTCCTGCTTCCTGTTAATATAGACTGTGGCAGGTAGCAGTGTTAGCAGATTCAGTTGAGTTCCTGCTACCAATGAGGGAGACATGGATTGAGTTCCTTGCACCCAGTCCAGCCTCAACTATTGCAGGTATTGGAGAGGAGTAAACTAGAAGATGGAAATGTTAATACCCCTCCCCTTCTCAAATAAATAAATATGTAATGTCAGTAGTTACTACTTACCCAAAAACCTGTTATAACAATATCATACTGCTTCCAACTATGATGTGCCTGGGGAAAAAACATGTAAAATGTTTATTAAGAATGATATAATTAAATAAAAATATGTGCTGTTTCATAGTTTGAAAAAATTTTTAATTATTTTGATGATCTTTAGATAGTTGATTAGGGCACAAAGGGTCAAGGGCTACAAAAAATTGGGTAAGACCATTGTTTCCACATTAGTATTATATATATATATATATTTTTTTTTTTTTTCTGTATCCAGGGTAAGGGGAGAGATAAAGGGAAAAGCCCCACCCAAGCTCTCACCCATCCCAAGTCCCCAACATGCAGTATGCTCCAAGGATCCTGCTCATGCAGTTTTGATAGTTCATCAGTTCTAAATTACTGCCAATCTTGGTGTTCCAAGTGCAATGAACTCTCTTCAGAATCCATTGGATGACATGGTTGGGGTTCATGGTTGGGGTTCTGAGATCAGCAGTTCAGTTGAAGGGATTCCCAAACAAACTTCGTCTAAGGTGATCCCAGACCTGATTCTTATGTGCCTGAACAGGGTCCAACACAGTCCATTGCCCCAGTCAGCTTATGCATATGCTGGTGGTTACATTTGCTGGGTCATTTCTGTTTCCAGACCTGTCTTCCACACGAACTAATGAGTGTTGCAACCAAACCTAATTCTCCTCAGCACACACTTGGCCCACTCTTAAACCAGTGGGAGCTGCAGCCTAGTTGGAGTGACTTCCAATAATCCCAAACCAGGCCTGCCTCCTACCTTGGTTCTCGTGCTTGTCAGTATGTACAACAGACTTGTCCAGTCTGTCCCACATCCCATTCAGCTCTCATACATGTCAATGGGCATTGAAGCTTAGTTCAACCCAACCAGCCCCACTATCCAGCCTACACACATGCTGGTGGGTGCCGTTGGGTGTAGCCACCCTTACCCCAGTCCTGGTTTTCATGCTCTCCAGTGGGAGTGATAGCCTAAGAGGGTGGTGCCCACTATTTCCCTACTGGGCCACTCCCACTCCCAGATCATGGTCTCCACTAGTGGTTCTGCGGTTTAACTTGACAGAATTAGGCCCCATTGCCAGCCTCTGCCAGGTGATGCTGCGGCAAAGCCCAACCAACCCAAACATACCCTGGCTTAAGCATGCACCAGTAGAAACAGTCAACCCAACTTGACTTTCCCCTGATAGAGCTCACATGAGGCCAACAGGTGTTGTAGCCCTGTCTAGTCTGTTCTACCCCCATCCAAACTCACGCTCTCCAGTGGTAGTGGCGGTCTAGCAGGTAAGCCCTCCACATTCCCCCTACCGGCCATCCCCCCAGTTCTCATGTGTGCTATTGGGTGCTTCGGCCCAGTCTGGCTTGGCCCCCATCGCCTCGGCATTAGCCACTGGGTGCTGTAGCTTGGCCCAGCCCACCCCCAATTCCAGCTCCCGCAGGTGGGATTTAAAACCTAGCCCAGCCCAGCAAGCACCCCATCCTAGCCGTAATGTGTACTGTTTAGTGTTGCGTCTGAACCTGACACGGCCCACACTCTGTTATGGTGCTCGAATTTGCCAGCAAGTGATGTGAATTGGTTCAGCCTGGTTCACCCTTGACCTGTACCAAATGTATGATGGTGGGTACCTTTATTTGGCCTGGGCTGGGCTGCTCCCTATCGTGGTTGTTGCACTCACCTGCAGGGACTATGCCCTGCCAGAGGAGTTGCCCAGGCTCCTCCATCAGAATCTCTCCCAATGCGAGATCTCATACATCTGGTGGGTCCGTGGGCCAGCCCTACTTAGTCCACCTCCTGTCCTGGTCGGAACAGTGGCCTTTCCTGACTGGCCATCAACCCATTCTGGTTCTTACTGTTGGATGTTTCAGCCCAGCCAAGGCTCATCCATACCCAGACACAGCTCATACATGTCTCAGTAGGGGCAGAGACCTAGCCTAGTCTGTTCTACATCTACCCTAGTCCTCCAGATCACCAGATGGTGCTGGAGTGTAGCCTGACTTGGAGCACCCAGCCCCAGTGCACACTTGTGCCAAGGGATACTGGAGCCAGATCCACCATAAGATCCATTTTGGCCAGACTGATTCACCAGCCCACATAAGAGTCCTCAGAAAAAATGTTTAATGATAAAACTTTTTATACCAAAAATGTATAATTTTGACCTATTCATTCAACAGTGAAGGGAATTAACATTAGTGAGCCACTGTTCTAGCTCTCTGACCATGAGATTATCTCATTTAATTTTCTCTTCAATTTTATGAGAAAAATATTTTAAAAGAAACATGAAGCAAAGTTGCACTGTAACTTTCCCATTTTTGTAGCTCCTCAATAACTAAGCTATAACCCAAACATCTGCTCTTTTTCATACCGTACTGCCTTCATTACCTATGCAGTAAATGTACAACCTGTAAAGCCAGGATATAAGGACATGGTCCAATGGTCTTTAACATATATATATTTTCTGAATGTTTCTGAACTACCAGTTTTGCACAAAATAGAAAAATTTATAGATTTTAATTATCAAGGCAGTATATCATTTCAGAGTAGCTAACTGATAATTCATTTATTTCATATTAAACTAAACTGCTTAATTAAATGTAATTAAATTTAAACATGTAATTAAATTAATTTTGAAAATGAGTACTTTACCATGTGAGATTTATTTTAATTTATGAGAAGTGTTTGC